CATGTTTTGGCAGTTTGAATCACCATAGGAACAATTAACAAAACAAAAATAGGCTTATCAGTCAAACCAATTTTGTTCTCGCAACTTTTACTAGTAAAATTATTTTTTTTGTGTGTAAACTTTTGCTGTTTTGTTTTCCTCACGCGTGTAGAAAAAATAATGTACCTAGCACGTGCGTAAAGTGACTTTTCCGCACTCGATTTCTGGCCGAACTCCGCTAACGCGTCGTTCGGCCATCTGCAATCGCGTGCGGAAAAGTGGCACTTTCCGCACTTGTTAGGTAAACTACTATTTCATACGACTGCTCTGTAAAACGTTAAAAATCGCACGCCAAAGTCAATCTGAAAGTGACGTCAACTACTCATATAGGGAAAAAAGGAACAGGTACCGGGTGTTTGGTTATATTTTGCACCCGCACCTATCTCACCTGTTTGAAGAGATACCTAGAAATGTTAAATAAGAAAGTTGTAGGTAATATCAGAAAGTTTTCAATGAAGTTAGTTAAAAGTATACAGGGTGTGTCACGAAAGTGTGGCAAAACAAAGTTATACTATTTTAAATGGAACACTCTGTATATTTATGACATTTCTGGATTCTGCGGAAAATTCTAGACATATTTCATGTACAATGTCTTATACCTATCTTCAACTGTTTCGAAAATATTGACAGTTGAAAATTGACTTTTTGCAACTTTGACAGGCTGTAAAACCTTAACGTTTGTTTTTAGAGGAAAACCGATTTCACGTTCCTATCCTAGATTTTCATAAACTATCATTTAAGACCAACTTTGAATTTAACCGGAGATTAAATTTAACTGGAATTTTTAATCATGGACTAAATTTAATGTTAGTGTCAAATGATAGTTGATGAAAATCTAAGATAGGAACGTGAAATCGGTTTTCCTTTAAATCAACCGTTTAGGTTTTACAGCCTGTCAAAGTTGCAAAAAGTCAATTTTCAACTGTCAATATTTCCAAAACAGTTGAACTTAGCTTAGGTATAGGGTATATCACATGAAATCTGCTCAGAATTTTACGTACATAGAATCCAAATAGGCAATAACATATAGGGTATCTCATTAAAAATATGCAAGCTGACGTCTACCTCCAGTATAACCGGAAGTGCCACAGTCTTGAAATTATTTTAGCCGGATGGCCCCCATCAACATTGTTTTGTTGCCAAATTTTCAAAATTTCCCAAAGTTTATTTTCTGAGAAATCGATCGCGGCAGTTCGTTGTGGGACCACTGTATGGTTATGATTGTTCAGTAGGACATAAAATAATCAAGAAAATTGTTTTTGCTAATTTTCATGAACCACCATGTATTTGCGAAACTAATAGAAATTTGGCAACAGCAAAAAATTATTTTCATTATTCTTCAAAAATGGCAACTTTTTTCTAATTTAACCGCGGCCCGTATTCTGGTATCGTGGGAGTGAGATCCCCGAGAGAATCACATTTGAGAATCAAATGTAGCTTTCCCCAGGGGCCCGATTCTCGTTTCAGGGAAGGAGAGCTCCCCGAGAGAACAAGTTTTTTGTCTTCATCATTCTCGTTTACTTTTCGATTAAGTTGACAAGGACAAAACATTCGTTCTCTCGGGGAGAGAGCTCTCCCTCCCCGAGACGAGAATCGTGCCCCTGGGGGATCTCACTCCCACGACACCAGAATACGGGCCGCATCTCTTACCATCTCTTACCGTATCCGATATACCAATTGGTCCATGGTATTTTGGACACTCTGTATAAATAGCTATTATAATGCGAAATGTTTGACAATTTTAGGTAATTGCCGGATACTATTTGGATGCTGTGAGATTAACAGGTGGTTGTCCAAAAACTGTCCGGTCTGACATGGGTACCGAAAATGGGTTGGTGGAACGAATACAAAAAACCTTTCATCAATCATTCAATACCGAGAGGTGTGATAGACCATCCTTCTTATATGGGAAAAGTACACATAACCAAAGAATTGAATCTTGGTGGGGAATGCTTAGAAAACACTGCGTTCAGTTTTGGATGAACCTTTTTCAATCACTGAAAGATGAGAATTTCTTCCAGGGAACGACTCTTGACAAGATGTTAATACAGTTCTGTTTCTCGAAGATAATCGAGGTATGTTATTTTGCATGGTTAGAATTACAAAACAAAAATATACGATACACGATCACCAATTAGTTTCTGTAGGTAGCACAAAAATCGCCAACAAGAAATGTGGCTTCACATATAGGCACATTTTTTGGAAACAAATACAAAAATGGTTTTTTCTCCGAATGACAGTGAAATCGGCCTTTTAATGACACTTGACAGGATCAAAAGTTGTACATTTACTGCCTAGGCATTAAAAGTGATAGTGTCGAAGATGTCCATGAATGAAATGAGAACATTCGGAGAAAAAATTATATGTTTCACACGGCAGAAAAGCATATTTAATTCGGAGGGGCCTATAAGATTTCTTCGTCAGTAATGACGTCAGAGGTTCTCCTTAGTGGTTTTATCTTTAATGATGACTTTTTCTCCCATGTTCAATCCACCTCGTCCTTTTCAGTGCACTGAATTTATGCCAACCTTCACGTTCTCACTGTAGGTAGTTGTGTGGTGCGTGTGTGGATCATGGTTAGACCATCTTCTTGTTAATTATTCTGTTTATTTATAGAGAGAAATGGTTGAAGTTGTTCATGAGTGGAATATTCACAAAATAAGTAAAACCAGAAACAGTGTATCTCCAACTGGAAGACCAGCTTTAATGTATGAAGTCCCTTCTTTCTACGGAGCTCAAAGTTATTTAGTGCCAGTACCTGCCTTTGCAATTGATGAACTCTCCTCTGGTTGTACATTCCAAGAGCATCCATGCGACAAGGATTTTCATGAGCTTTGTTCTATTTTAATAGAAGAAAATCAATACGTCCAAAATGAAAACCCAACAGATTGTGTTGATTTGTATAAAAAGTTGAGAAATGATTTGCGTAATATATTTAACATTACCATTTAATAAATGGTTTCATTGTTCATTATGCTCCCGGGTTATAAATGAGGGACTTTTTAAACAACCGCACTCAGTTTTCACTTTTATAATTTCTTTATTGTTACATAATATATGCATTTATGGCTGGGCATCTCGAACTACATTGTCATAATAAACTTATTTTGTTCCAAAATGTTTTTTTATCCTAAAATAATGTTCTTTTCACCCTTGTTTCCTCAAAAAAATAAAATAAAAATTTGATTCTCATTCTGTAACAACTAATCACAAAAAATCACACAATGTTTTTCTCCATCTAAAAATATAGAAATAAAACAAATTAAACTTACTCCTTAAAATAGCAAAAAAAACTTATACTTGCTGAGTGACCCAGGAAAAAGATGCTTTCTAATTCTTTATCCTATTCAAAATCTGATGTCAGGTGTAGGTAAATTTATCACCTTTCCCTATCAAATACTTCTGGAAGGTGATAAATTTTATCTTTACCTTTAGATATCGGATTGAATAGATATTAAATTTTTAATAAAATGGCAAGTTTTATTTGGTATTTAAATTTAAATCGACGTCATTTCTAATGGGACATTCAGTAAGTATGTAAGATAAAAAATAAGCTTGACGAAGTAACACATACTTATTATCAAAAACGTAACAACACAATACAGTCTGTAACCTGTAACTGGACTACAGAAAAACTTATTAGGTTTAAAACCCAAAATGACTAAGGCCTGGTTGTACCAAACAGTGGTTCAGTTGAACTCTACTGGTACTTGATCTTTCTTATTTGGAATGCGTTGCTGTCAAAAAATATGAACTTTGACAGATTTCTGACATCAATGCGCTCCAAATTGGGAAGATCAAGTACCAGTAGAGTTCAACTGAACCTCCATTTGGTACAACCAGGCCTAAATAAAATAAATTAAAACTTGGTAAAATTGGCTAGTATGCTAAATATTGCTATAGGTAATAGGAAAGTTTCGTAAAAAAACACATAATAAGCAAAATATAGTTTCATAATTCCTATTAGGCAATTCGAACAACGAGATAAAAAGTAAAAAAAGTACATTTGACAAATAAATTCAATAAACTGCGGTGGCAGAAACTCACTAAACATCGGAGTTCAGACTTTTTTCAATACATTTTTGAACATGCCTTCATGTCTTGCCAATCCTGTATTTAATATTTTTAATAACAAAGAAAGTGGTTCAGAGGCAAATTCCAATATGATGCTGTGGGCATAGGACTGTTTATTTATTTTCTGTGAATTTGTAGTGCTCTATCAGTTTGAGAAATTTTTTTTACACACATTTTTGTTTGTGGCGTCATGTTTTATTTAATTTATTTGTCAAATGTACTTAGTTCACCCTAGAATTTCCAAATAAGAGAATCAAGCCTGTGACATGTATTTTAATATTATAGTAGGTAAATATTCCAAGTAGCTCGATTTTAAGTACGAAGTCTAAGAGCTGACCGCAAGAAAAGGAGTCGGTAACTTAAAAGGCTAAACTTTATAGGAATAGATGCGCCATATGTAGACCTTCAATAATCCGCCGGGTGACAACACCCCACCCCCTGCGTGTTATAAACCGTGAGACAGAGACAAAAAAAAACCCGACCCTATACATACAAAAGTGACATATCATAAGAAATTCGACCTTGAAAAATCCGAAAAAAATACCAAAAAAAATCCAACGTCAAAATTAACAGCTGTCAAAGTCGAAAACATGACAAGGAGAAACAAATTTCAAAATGTTCCAACGACAGCTGTCAATTTTGACGTTGGAATTTTTTTGGTATTTTTTTCGGTTTTCTCAAGGTCGAATTTCTTATGATATGTCACTTTTGTATGTATAGGGTCGGGTATTTTTTGTCTCTGTCTCACGGTTTATAACACGCAGGGGGTGGGGTGTTGTCACCCGGCGGATTATTGAAGGTCTACATATGGCGCATCTATTCCTATAAAGTTTAGCCTTTTAAGTTACCGACTCCTTTTCTTGCGGTCAGCTCTCGTACTACAACTTTTAGATTATATCCATAACCCAAACGCCTGCATTTAAAATATTATTTAATTCTGACCTGAAAATCATAAAATTCTCGTAGGTGGTCGGAAGTTCTAACAAATTATTACAAGTATGAGCCACTGGGGCTCTACTCAAACCGGTATTGTCATTAAAATGTATCAATATTTTAGCATTAGCCAAATTGGACCCCGTGCAGAATCGAAGGAACGATGATCTTGTTTTCTCGTCGCTTTCTTTTATGATTTTTTTAAGAAAAGCCACGACTTTCCTTTGCTCATCATCTAAATTTTCTGGAACGTCCAGCATACATAAAATATTTTTATCGGTTGGGGCATATTTGGAATATATTTCGTCTAAATTCAGGTCTCCCAAATTCTTCTGGAAAGCATTCTGCCAACAAGCCTGCACATAGTTCGGTTTTTGGACCAATTCTTCAAAGGCAATTTGGCCTAAAAGTTTTTCAAAACTATCTTTAGTCGGTACCCACTTGCCATCATAGTTTGAACAGAATTCCAGTATGTCATCTATATCTACGCTGTCGAAATCTATCAAAGCTTTTTTTAAAAGCAATGCATCGGAAGGGGACACATACATCAAAAAGTTTTCCAATACTTCCTTTTCGTCCAGTTCCAAGCCCAAGCAACTTTTAACAAAAACTGGTGCGATTTTAATTGGGAAATACTGTTGGGATATGTAGCTTTCTACAATTATTTTGGCCACAGCTTCCCATTCTTTGTACTGAAAATCATGTCGCAGAGTAGGAACCTTCAATTCTGTGCCCATAGTGCACGCATCGTAAAATGTCAGGAAAAATTCCGAGATGGCATCCCGCAATACGCCTCCGACATTCTTCTGCTTTTTCCGAAGTCCCATTCGGAAGTATCATTTCAACTTGCACATGTTTAAATTGAATATTTCTTTCTTTCATGGCGGTTAAAATTTCAGAAAAGACATGCCCCCTATGAACAATTAGTACTTCTCTTTCTTCTGGAGGCGATTCGAAAGAAGCAGGATCAGAGGGGTTGTGGGTCATGTTTCGAATTTCCGTTGACGACGCGAGAGTATTTGATACTGAATTGGTATTAGTTCTTGATGTACTTCCTGGTGCATACTCGGGCGCATACGAAGTATTCGCTGGTAAGTCGTAAATATTATTTTCGTTCAGGTAAAACATGTCCATTGGCGATTCCTGAAACATAAACGTTAAATACTTAATCAAGGCTTATAAAGGATGCTAATTATAGGTGTTACAAAACTTAAAGGGAAAATAGTATCTACTCATCAAAGAAGAAAAAGGTGGTCCAAGAGTGTTCAAATACTAATGAAAAAATATACCGGGTGTTCATTTGAAAACTTCCCACCCCAGTTTTATTAAAAACCACTGATTTAAAAAAAAAAAACGCCGAGACACGTCAAGACACGTGTCAAAGGGGACAACTTTTTAAGTAAAAATTACTCCTCCCCACTTCACCCCCTACCGCTTAGGGGCACCCCCTAAAGAATCTTAAATGGGAAAGGTTACCGAATAATAGCTTGTTTGAAAGGCCTTATCATTTTAGATTCTTTAGAAGGTGCCCCTGGGCGGTAGGGGGTGAAGTGGGGGAAAGATATTTTCACTTAAAAAGTTGTCCTCCTTGACACGTCTTTTGACGTGTCTCGGCGTTTTTTTTTTTTAATCAGTGGTTTTTGATATAACTGGGGTGGGAAGTTTTCAAATGAACACCCGGTATATTTTTTCATTAGTATTTGAACACTCTTGGACCACCTTTTCCTTCTTTGATGAGTAGATACTATTTTCCTACTATAGAATGAAAAATAACATCGTTTGACGTTATTTTTGCCTTGTTTATTTCAGTTGTTTTAGTGGCGCAACGTAGGGCAACCAAGCTGTATTAATTAAACAACAAAAAAAAAAAACATTGTCTCCATTTTTTTCGAAAATGGACATTAGTTCTAGATTAAGCAACTGAAATTACAACCTATGCCCGTCAAGCTCCACTCATAGTTTTTGTTCATTTCTTTCTAAAATTTGACGTTTGATACACCTTTAGGTGTCACAATGTCGAAACAAATCAACATAAAACGCGAATTTTGCTTTACTGTGAGTGAAGCTTTATTTGGAGCATATCATGTATGATATCATTGCTTACGAACAGACCACTTTCTGAGCCTACTTGGACTTGGAGAAAGTTACTGAACAGTACGAAAAAAAATGTATCTTTATCCTAATTTAATACATGTATAATGTAAGGATAAAAATACAGTTTTTACACACTGTTCAGTAATTTGCTTCAAGTTAGGTCAGATATACTCAGAAAGTGGTCAGTTCGTAAGCAGCTTATGTCTCGCTTCGTTTTCGAGGAAAAAGAATAATCAACATTCTGCTCAAAAATAAAGTTTCATTTATTTTTGAATATCACTTCAAACAAGCTCTGGAAAAAATGAAATCGATTTTGCAAAATTTCGGTTTTTTCCGCATATTTTAATATTTCCGGAAATACGCGGAATTTTCCAAATTTCAAAATGGTATTTTGTTGGGCATTAAATTTGGCAACTTTGCCCCAATTTCAACAACCCTGTGTCTTTTACCGTTTCCGATATCCCAATGATGTGGCTCGAATTTGAAACACCTTGTATATACAGGGTGAGTCACCATATTTTGACACCCACCTGCAGCCGTAATTACAGGTGATAGGTAAAAGGTGTAAATACAAAAGTTGTAGCATTTCATCTGAACCGCCAGAATTTTCAATAAGATTGAACAAATAAGCAACGCAAAGTAAAAAATTATGTCGATGTTCAGTTTTTTCAAATAGAATGCCCATTATTTTCTTCCAAATTCCTAAGGCTCTCGTTTTTCCGATTCAGAATATATATAATATGTTAATGTTTCTTTCAATAGTTTTGGAAATATCTGGAGCTTAGTTATTCAGGGCCGGTTTTTTAATAGCAAGTCACCCCCGGGTTAAGCATAAGTCCAAGGTGAACATCGCAACTGCACACGTTAACCCTGGAGTTAAAACCAACCCTGGAGGTGACTCGCTATTGAGAAACCTACCCTCAAAGACTTTTTTGAATCAGTTTTTTGAATAAATGGGTACATTCAGGCGGTGTCAGCGGCTAAGTTCAGCTACTCAGCAGGAACCTTATTCTTGAAACAGCGGAACAGTGTTCTCTGTCAAAGTGAATATGAACGACGGAGACAGAACCCTTGTTTTCATGAGAACGCTGTTCCGCTGTTTCGGGAATAAGGTTCCTGCTGAGTAGTTGAACTTAGCCGCTGACACCGCCTGAATGTACCCATTTTTACCTTGATTCACCTGTCACCTGTCGCAAAATATTTTGGAACCCTAATAACGTGAATAGGTTTTTGAAAAACTGGACTCCAGATATTTCCAAAACTATTGAAAGAAACTATAACATATTATGTATATTCTGAATCAGAAAAACGAGAACTTTGAGAATTTGAGAGAAAATAATAGGCATTCCATTTAAAAAAAGTGAACATAGACATATTTTTCTACTTTGCGTTGCTCATTTGTTGAATCTTATTAAAAATTCTGGCGGTTCAGATGAAATGTTACAACTTTTGTATTTACACCTTTCACCTATCACCTGTAATTACGGCTGCAGGTGGTGACTCACCCTGTACATACATACCTATGAAATATGCAACGAAGAAAAAAAGTAAACATAAACCAAACTATTCCGATTTATCCCCATATATTTCATAATCTGAAGATTCTGAACCCAAACTACAGTGTGAAGAGGGCTGCAAAAAAAGGAACGAACCTTTAAAAGGTTCTGTAGTGTCAATCACTAGATTTCTTCCTTGGATAGATTATAGTTGTGTAGTATGTCCCCTAAACCCAGTATTTATAATATTCCGATTTATATAAAGTAGGGAAGTACCTAAACCCGAGTTGATAAAATGCATTTTTTTCGAGTGCTTTTAGGGCCTCACCTACTGAGCTCAGCGTGAGTGAAAAAAAAAAACGCTTGCTATGTGGTTACTCCGATAGGAACTAATCATATACCTACAAAACTTACATTAGCATCAGCACCAAATATGTTTTCTACAAGTCTTTCAAGGTTTAGACTATTCGGCTCCGAGCTGTTTCTTAAAGACATCGTAAATGTGTCTGGAGGCTTCGTAACTGCAGGCATAAAGTCGGTATCTTTTTCATGTTTTGTGGTTGCTAGGTAAAACCTTAATGTATTCATTCCCGAGACCTCATACATCTTATTGATGTCAATATCTTCCACTATTTTCAAAGATTTATAATCTTGCAATTCATATTCGAACTCTCTGATATGTCCGTATGACGAGGAACCATCAGGAAAAAATAGATCAATAGCTTTTGCAAGAATGTCGTTATATTTCATTATTTTTGGTACCGATATCCTTCTTGTGCCACCTGTCGGCATTCTAACAGGCCTGAATTCTTTTTTCTTCGGGCAATATATTTTCCATCCAATTTCTATCATTCTTGTTTCCTTTAAATTGTTTCCTTTGGCTTTTTTGGCAGGTTTAGAATGAGGTCGTGGCTGGGAACTCTCTCCAAAGGAATCGAAAGTTGTTTTTAGTTTCTCAATAAGGCTTATTCTCCTGCTTTTAGAAGCAAAAGATTTTAAAGCCAGTCTGTCTCCGTGCGCTGGTAAATACGGCTTCAAATCATCTTCAGTCATAGATCTCACCACAGTTATGTCAATCTAAAACAGGAATGATTTGCTTAGTCCACGTGATAGTGTTGGAAATCTACATCTATACTGTATAGGGCGATTGGCCCAGTTGTACAAATTCGGTTCAAAACAGAGTTCAGCTGAACTCGACTGGTACTTGAACTTTTCCAATTAAAATACATTGCTGTCAGCTCGAATGGGGAACTTGCATCAATTTTTTTTATCGCTGATTTCGTTAGTCGATGAAAAAATAAGTCAACACGTGTTTTTTCTTTTTCCTGTTGGTCAAAAATTGACGGAGATACAACGCTTTGAAATGTGCCTATGACGTCGTAACGTATCGATTTTTTTTCGATTTCCTACAGTTTGCAATAACAATAATCAATTTAATTTTTCATACAAGTTCCCTATTCTATAAATTATTTTCTTTATTTTTCATTTCCACCTAATCACAGATTATAACAAACATAATATAAACTTAGAGGTTGTTTAAGACCTAGAGCGCGAGGCTCATTCAGTATGATGTATGCTAAATCTACGTCAGGCTATGTTCAGTTTGTTTATGAAAAAATTAAAGTAGGAGAAAAGAAAGGGAAAAAAAGATAGAGAAAAAAAACAGCAAATGCATCTCAATTGTGCGTACGGAAAATTAATAAACAATAAAGGTATTCGAAAATGTTTATTTGTTGTCATACTTTTTTATTTTTATCAAAACATACCTTTTCATCAACAAACTTTTGTATAGTCTCCTCAGGTATATTACGTATTCTAAGGAATTCATCCAACGAGTAATTATTATGTTCTCGTTCCTACAAACGAAAAGATTAAAAAAATAAATAAATAGCGTGACAAGGGTAGATAAGTATAGTTTTTTCCTACGAGCGTGCGGAAATCGACTTTCTCGCACAGTCCGGGATTTTGAGATATCAGGAAAAACTTTTTTCTACAACCGTGCGAAAAGTACTCACTTTACGCACCCTTCAGAAGACGTGAAATCATTTATTACGCACAAGTGCGTAAATAAGTGATTAACTTTTCCGCACTAGTTAGGTAAATAACTGTTTCGGCACTCGACTGCTTCGACCGCACTCTTCCGTCGTTCGGTCAACTAGGCACTCTCGTGCGGAAAAATCGATTTTCCGCACTTGTTAGGAAAATAACTATTTCTGCACTGATATATATGTACATGTGTCAAACCATTAACAAATCAAATAATTTTTAGTGTTTTTTCCAAAAAATCTAGTAGCAATAATAGGTACTCTCAAATAATTGTTATTAAAAAAAATGGTTATATCTATTTTTATTATTTTCCTGACGCTCGAAGAAAAACAGTTGTTCCTATAGGTCTACAAAAGGATCTAGACTTCTTTTAGTTCAAATTCAGATAATTTTTTAGTTTTCGCTTGCGGAAAATCTTTTTTCTACAACGGTGCGTAAAGTACTCACTTTACGCTGTCTTCAAAAGACGTAAAATTATACTTTACTTCTTAGACTTTAGTTTTAGTGCGTAAAGTATTGACACATAACAAGCCATAGTTGCTCAAGAACCCTTAACCTACAGGATGGCTATCCCCATAAGGCGTACGTTCGGTATTTTTCGCCTGCCATGGCGTCTTTGTAGACTCGCCGATTTCATCTCCTTCTGCTTCACCAAACCGATTTATTTTGATGGATTTTGCTTTTGAAAATGTGCTATTGACGACGTCTCTAATTTACAAAACACATATTTCATTTTTAGGTTGTCAAAATGATGTTTAAAACGGCTTTAGTATATATGTATCAATGACATTTCACTAATGGACCGGCCCTTGTCATATCCTCGTACAGCGTTTGTTGCAGCCAACATTAGTAAGAGAGGTCCGAGAGAGATGGAGCTCTTTATCCCATTTACGCCAAAACCCCATATAACTCAATGACACATGCATGACACACAGGTGCTGCTGAACCGCCGCGGCGGGTCAATAGTCTAGATTTGAAGTATTTTGATGTTTTGAAGGTATAATTACCTCTATCCTTCTCGCACTGCGATGGAGTCAATAGATTGCCGGTTGGGCGGGTCCATAGTGAAAACGTAATGTGATGTCATTGATATGTATAGGTGATAATTCCACGTTGTCATCACAACAAAGCATGAAATATATCCGGACATTTTAGAAAATTTTGTTTGAAGCCAATTTTTTGAAAAAAGCATGAGTGCATAGCACCTAAAAAAATCCCGATCCCGCAGGGAGAGGGATTTTTTTGTGCTGAAAACTAAGTTTTTCTAAAATTTCCATTAGGAAATATTTTATGCACGTGTTATGTTTATCGATCGGAAATTTCCCTAGTGCCAATTTAGCTGGAAATTTTACACGCGAATTGTCAAAAATTGATAAGTGGAAATTGCATCTGGAAATATCCCGGGCGTCATTGTCATTTTTGACATTTATAGTTTCAAAACAGAAAACAGTCGACCTGTCAAAATTTTATCAACTCGGGAAATTTCCGATCAAAACATAACACGTGCATAAAATATTTCCTAATGGAAATTTTAAAAAAAATTAGTTTTCAGCCAACTTTTAAAGAAAAAAGAATTCGTGCATTGCACAAAAAAAATCCCTCTCCCTGCGGGATCGGGATGCTATGCACTCATGCTTTTTTCGAAAAATTGGCTTCAAACAAAATTTTCAAAAATTTCCGGAAATATTTCATGCACTAATTGCAATTGCAAATGCAAATTTTGACAGGTTAACTGTTTCGAAACTATAAACGTCAAAAATGACAATGACGCCCGGGATATTTCCAGATGCAATTTCCAAAACGGATGCAATTTCCACTTATCAATTTTGGGAAATTTTCGTGCAAAATTGGGAAATTTTCATATATTATATCACAAGAGCTCTAAATTTAATCGATTAAAATATCCAAAATATTTTGAGCATGATTTTGCTTGGAAAATAGTTGAATGCACAAGAACTTAATAAAAATCCGAGACCGCGAAGCGGTCGAGGGTTTTTAGGTTTTTATTTAAAAGTTATTGTGCATAAAACTATTTTCAACAAAAATATGACAATATGACAATTTATTCAATTAAATAGAGCAACGAACAATGTAACTTATTGGGTACTATCACTTAGTTTACAATTCACGTAAAAGTTGACCAAATTTCAACAATTTTTTTATTTTGACAGCACCTATCAAACATTTTATCGGATAAACTTCTGACAGGAGCTATCAAGCAATTTATCCACTTGAAAACAATTTTTGACGTTGAAATCCGTTTTTTTGATTGGTTCAAATTGACAGGTGGGAAATAATCACTTATCTAATTGAAATTTATTCGAAAAATGACGTTTTCTGATTGGTCTATGTCATGATGAATGAAATAATCGTAGGTCACTGGCGTAGCTAGGGGGGGGGCAAGGGGGCATTTGCCCCCCCCAAGACCCTTACATTTTATGAATATTTCTTCAAAATTAAGATAAACAGTCCCAAAAATAGCGTAAAGAAACCTGAAAAAGGGGCGTGGCACCCAAAAATTTCGCGCCTACGGCGCTAAGCCTCCGGCAGCGGTCGCGGTAGGGCCGCAAAAGACGCTTCCTGCAAATTTGCCCCCCCCAAGACAAAATCCTGGCTACGCCACTGTCGTAGGTAATACCATAAGAGCTCAGATTTAGCCGGATATTTTTTTGGCTTGGTCTCGAATACTTACTGATTTTGTGGAACAGATCAAGATAAATTGCATAAAAGTCAGTATGAGAGAGCAAGCAAAAAAATATCCTGCTCAAAATCTGAGCTCGAATGGTATTTGTCAAGGCAATTCCACGAATGCTCTTCTCTGTGTTCTCATCAGGAATTGAATTTTCTATTTCGCCATTTGCTTCATCTTTGTTAATAATTGTCCCAAATCGCTGCATGTTGGAAATATTCGTTTTTTTATTTAAAAATACACTTCTATTAGCTAAAATGATTGAATTTGTGACAGAATTATTTGACAGATGCTTCAAAAACCAATTAAATATGCAATTGTTACTGTGATAACGATCGGATCAACAGAAAAAATATCCGATTTTTTTAGCCAGTGTAATTTTCTCTTCCTTCCTTTTTATCCGCTAGAAAATTACGATTTTTGACATTTCAAATGGGATTTCTTATACATGAGTGGGATTGCCGCTGTAATTTTTTGATTTGACACTTCTCCTATGGGAAAATTTATACCTACATGAGTGAAATATTCTGTAGTAATATCTTAATGGCATATGAACTTGTCGAATATTTTGCCTGAAGGTTTGTTGCCTAGAAACAGCTTGAATTCATTTGTATCGGTATTTGACAAAAAGTGTCCCGAGCCGTAGGCGAGGGCACTTTTTTAGGCAAATACCGATACAAATGAATGAAAGCTGTTTCTTTAAGGCAACAAATCTGAAGGTAAAATGTTCTACATAGTTCATATGCCCGAAAGATATTTGATAGACTATTTCCCGAAACAATTCATTTTTCGTCATTTTTAATACCTATGTGCACCTGCAGGAAAATATTCTGCAGTTATATATTAAGGGATGGGGAAATTATCGAAAATCATTCCGAAGATTTTTTGCCGTGCAAATCGCTCGAGGGCTTGCCCGAGAGCGATTTCCTAATGGCAAAAAATCTGAGAATGATTTTCTGATTATTTCCCAATCCCGAAATGTATTTTGAATATTATTTACCAAATAAATTAATTAATATATCTTTATTTAGCAAAGAAACAGCTAATTTACAAAGTTTACAGTCATGCACAATATACATAGACTCCAAAAATTGCAATACACAGGTATACTAATACTAAACTATTATAGCTAAAAAAAAAGCACAGCCTGCTTGTTCACTTATAAAATCAATAATCAAATAAAATACAATCAACAGCATCATTTTACAAAATTTTGCAAAAAATCTCAAAATTTTGAATTATTTTACAAAATTTTGCAAAATATCTCAAAATTTTGAATCATTTTGCAAAATTTCGTACTTTTTTACAAAATTTTGACTTTTTTTGCAAAATTTCGCAAAATAATCCAAAATTTCGCAAAATAATTCAAAATTCTGAGATTTTTTACAAAATTTTGTAAAATAATTCAAAATTTTGCATCATTTTACAAAATTTTGCAAAAAATCTCAAAATTTTGAATTATTTTACAAAATTTTGCAAAATATCTCAAAATTTTGAATCATTTTGCAAAATTTCGTACTTTTTTACAAAATTTTGACTTTTTTTTGCAAAATTTCGCAAAATAATCCAAAATTTCGCAAAATAATTCAAAATTCTGAGATTTTTTACAAAATTTTGTAAAATAATTCAAAATTTTGCATCATTTTACAAAATTTTGCAAAAATTCTCAAAATTTTGAATTATTTGGCAAAATTTTGTAAAATAATTCAAAATTTTGCATCATTTTACAAAATTTTGCAAAAATTCTCAAAATTTTGAATTATTTGGCAAAATTTTGTGAAAAGTTTCAAAATTTTGAGATTTTTTACGAAATTTTAAAAATTATTTGCAATGTGGCCCTTCTACGCCTTCGTAAGATAGACATTGGATGCTTTTATTTGTTATAACATGATCTAAAATTGAGGCAGAGTATTGTGTTACTCTAGTGGCATTTTGATTATTTATTTTATTTTGAAATTTAAAACCATTCATTTCAACCGTATTTTTATAAAAACTAATACTTTGTGAACTTTTCAGTAAATCCAGATTCATATCGCCAATAAGTATGCATGAAGTTTTCTGACTTTCCAATAACTTGTCGAATTCGGGCATAAAAACATTGGTTTTATTTTTTGGTGGTCTATACATAGCAAATATTGTGAGTTTTTGTTGGGATAGATAAACTGATACTACGTTGCAGTCGTCTTTGTTGATGCTAGATTTAGTATTTAGTACATAGTTTATTCCATTTTTAACAAAAATGCAGGCACCTCCTCCTTTTGTATCTCTGCAATTATGCACTGCCGCATATGATGGTAAGTTAAAGTAGTTTATTTCATTGGGATAAAGCCCCGTTTCGGTAAGTATAATTATGTGTATTGGTTTTTTACTAAGCAGAAGTATGTTATTTATATCATCCAGTTTGTTTCGAAGACTCCTAATATTTATATACAATATATTCAGATCATCCTTTACAGCCATTGGTATAATTTTTGGTTTTTATTGTGGAAGTGAATTACTTGATTTAGGTTACCTTTATGTTAAACAGAGTTAGGAGTCCTGAGAAATAAACGTGTTGACAAAATAATTCTTCAAAAACGACTAACTTTATTTATATTGTAACTATGTTACCAAAACACATGACATGACAAAAAATAAATATAAAGGTTGTCAATGCAATGCCTACATGACAAAATATTGTTGCTTTGATGTACCTATAGGAACAACACCCCCACTACATCAAAACTAACAAGTTTCTTGCAAACCTATATTTTCCATGAACTTATTATGCTTAGAAACACTTAAGCTTTTTGTCATTAAATCCGCAATCATTTCATCAGTTGGAACGTAAGACAATTCAATGTTTTTATTAAAAACAGCTTCCCTGATAAAATGATGGCGTATATCAATATGCTTCGAACGCTTGTGATACATTGGGTTCGATGCAAGTTTCTGGGCACTCAAATTATCATTATATAATTTTACAGCTTCACAATTTGATTTACCCATTAGTTCACATAAAAGATTTTTCAGGTAAATAGCCTCTTTGGCTGCTTCTGAAATTGCCATATACTCGGCCTCTGTGCTTGATAAAGCTACAGTTCTCTGCTTACGGCTTTCCCAAGATATAGCATTTTCAAAAAAATTAAAAATAAATCCTGTATATGATTTTCTATCTTGCTTATCGCCCGCCCAATCTGCATCTACAAAGCCTTCAATAGTACAATCATTATTATTAATATTATTTGATTTTTTAAAAACTAAACCAAAATTCTTTGTACCCTGCAAATATTTGAAAACCCTTTTTATACATTTCCAATGATACTCAGTATACTTATTATTAAATTGACTCATAAAACTAACGGTATAAGAAATGTCAGGCCTGGTCAATACTGCCAAATACATTAAGCTACCAATTGCCTGCTGATATGGAATATCTCTATTAGAAATTTCTACTTGCAAACTGAAATCTAAATTTGTTTCTAATGGTGTTGATATTGTTTTACAAGTATTCATATTGAACCTTTTGAGAATCTTATTTATATATTCAGTCTGATCTAAAGTTAAAATTCCCTTTTCTTTATTCCTGATAATTCTCATACCTAAACATTCTCTAGCCTCGCCCAAATCTTTCAATTTAAATTTGCTACTTAAAGTAGATTTTAATGATTCTGTTTCGATAGAATCGTTAGAGAAAACACAGAAATCATCTACATACCTATAGAGCTATAATTGTCAAATAATTTTCATTAGCTTTAATATAAACACAATGCTCTAATTCAGACCTTTTGTAATTAATTTCTTTGAGAACTGCATCTACTTTTTCGTACCAAACTCTGGATGACTGTTTAAGGCCATAAATTGCCTTTTTCAGTTTACATACTTTACTTTCATTTTAAGAACTCTGAAAACCTTCTGGCTGTGTCATGTACAAAGTTTCATTTAAATTACCATTTAAAAAAGCTGTCATGATATCATAATGACTAATATCTAAATCTAATTCAACTGACAAAGCAAATAAAAGTCTAAGTTTACTGTGTCTTACCACTGGCGAAAAAGTTTCTTCGTAGTCAACACCTGGCTTTTGTGTATAGCCTTTAGCTACAAGCCTTGCACGATAACGCACACTACCGTCAATATTTTTCTTTTTCTTGTACACCCACTTACAGTCCACAATATTTGCATCATCTGGAATATCTACAAGTTCCCATGCATCAATGTCTATAAATGACTGGTAAGTATTCTTCTTTCATTGCTTGCCGCCATTCTTTGTTTTCAGATCCAGATAAAGCCTCATTTACATTAATTGGGTCAGCGTCTATTTCACCAGACGCACACATATAAGTTACAAAGTCCTCAAATTTTTTTGGTTTTGGCACTCGACTTGAGTGACGTACCTTGTCAGTCAAAGTCTGATTTTGTATAGGATCAATAGGATCATTACCCACAAAATCGTCATTAGTGTCACTGCCAATTTCATCAAGAACTTCTTTCTCGTCCTCATCCCTTACTGAATTGTACTCTGATTCTGAACTGATATCAGTACTATTCGAGATGCCAGCTTCAATGCTATCTTTGGTAATACCCCCCACTGACGACGAGTTTATTATAACTGGGATTTCGTCAGCCTTTTCCATTACCACAACGTCCCTGCTCGTTATAATAGAACCATCTTTTGGATCATAGATTCGGTAACCTTTGGTATTTTCGCCAAAACCGACCAAAATCATTTTTCTAGATTTTTTCTCCCATTTGGTTCTATTTGCTTTGGGTATGTGGACCATGGCTGTACTACCAAATATTCTGATATTTTCAATATTAGGTTTTCTACCATTCCATATTTCATATGGCGTTTTATCACCTAATCCTGAGGCAACTGATCTGTTTTTTAAATAAACTGCGGTATTAACAGCTTCCGCCCAAAATTTTTTCTCCAAATCAGCATCAAATAATAAGCATTTTGCTTTCTCAACTATGGAACGATTCATTCTTTCAACAACGCCGTTTTGTTCTGGAGTATAAGAATTAGTTTTTTGATGCACAATACCATTTTTTAATTAAAAACTTTCGAAATCGTTACTGCAAAATTCTCCACCATTATCTGATCTGATTATTTTCATTTTCTTACCTTTTTGATTTTCTACTAAAGCCTTAAATTCCTGAAATTTTTCGAAAACTTCAGACTTATACTTTAAAAAATAAACAAAAACCATTTTACTATAATCATCTACAAAAAGAAGAAAATATTTTGAGCCCCCAAGTGATCTATTCTCCATTGGGCCACAAACATCAGCATGCACAAGTTCTAACAAAACACTTGCTCTTGTGGCATGATGTTTAAAAGAATTTCGGGACTGTTTACCCTCACAGCAAACAACACATGCATTTGTAGTATCTTTTTTAGTTTTAAAAATCATACCTTCAACAATACCTTCCTGCATCTTGCACAAATCCTTGTAGTTAATATGGCCTAGACGACGATGCCATATTTCACTACTAGCACTTGCCATTGAAGATGTTAACAAACACTGGTTCTCTAGGTTAAAATTTTTAAAACTTTTGATTCTCAATTTATAAACATTGTTAATTAAGTCTGCTATAGCTATCAGTACATTTTGTTTGTTATAAATCTTACAGCATTCTTGTTCAAATTTAACTTTATTACCATTACTTATCAATTGACTTACCGACAGGAGATTCGTTGTTAATCCAGGAACACACATAGCTCTCATTAAAGTGATGTCATATTCATTTTGATTCACAACAGTTACAATGTTCACATCGCCTACACACGACACTGAGAGTTTTTCATTATTGGCTGTTACAATGTCCTGCATCTCAACATTCATTGAGATATTATTTAGCCAATTTTTGTTAACTGTAAGATGTCCACTCGCACCAGAATCAATGTACCAATCGTCTTTACTGAATTACTGGTATTGTTGCCACTTCTGCCCATATATCGTTTACCATGTTGCCGATTTCCACCAATAAAAGCACTTCCTGTATTACCAGCTGGCTCCATATCTAACAATTTAGTTTTGATGCTGTCAACTGTTAGCTGGATTCCGGAATGCTCTATTGCCATTATCATTGGAGCATATTTTTCTGGCAAACCTGCCAATAATAGCGATCCGACCCAGTCATCATCTATTTGAAAACCTGTTCCTTTCAGCTTCTGTGCTGTTTCTATGAGCTGAGTGACATAGGCCATAGAATCACACCTCTCAAGTCTGATAGATATCAAGGTACGCAACAAACCAATTTTTCGACAAAAGCCTGTGTCGTCAAACAGCTTTTGAAGCTTTAACCATAAATCTTTGGTTGTTGTTGCATCTTTAACATGCACAAATAGACATGGGTCCATTGATAAAATCAATTTTGCCTTGGCCTTTCCGTCTTTGCCTTTGTCCTGTTCAGTACCGTCCAAGCAACCCTTCAAGTCGTCCAACACTAGCATATTTTGCACTGCGAACGCCCAGTCGCTGTAGTTTTCGCGGCCTTTTAACTTAGGAACACTAGACAAGAAATTCACTGCCATTGTGAGTCTTGAAGATTGAGAAAACACGTTAACTCAACGACGAACTACCGTACTAACTCTATCGCATAAGAAAATCGCGTTTTTCTGGGCATCATAACCTGTTAAACAGAGTTAGGAGTCCTGAGAAATAAACGTGTTGACAAAATAATTCTTCAAAAACGACTAACTTTATTTATATTGTAACTATGTTACCAAAACACATGACATGACAAAAAATAAATATAAAGGTTGTCAATGCAATGCCTACATGACAAAATATTGTTGCTTTGATGTATAGGAACAACACTTTAAATGTGCTGGAAGTCTCCCTCATTCTTTATTCTTACTGCCCGGTCATTTTCACCCTTTTTCAAATACACTTTGCCATTATTCACATATGCTGCCTTATAGTTGTTGATTCTCTTTAGTTCGCGAGCCTTTTTAAACAATAGTTGGTTGTATTTAGTTAGGTCTTCATTGAAAAATATATTTGTATTTTCACCCGCCAGTCCGCATTCATGTAACTTTAAACCTTTCACATCTTTTATTTGTTTCATTATGTTATTCGTAACTTCCTGATTCTTTAACTTGAGCATGATTGGTGCTTCCGGTTTAGTGTTGATCCTGTATAACTCCTCCACATCCCCTTCGTTAGGAGTGAATTTCATGGCCCGAAACACCTTTTTAATACTATCTTGGAGAGAATTTCCATTTTGCTTTGTAGGCCAGGAAAGAGAGGTTGAACCTCGCAAACTCGACACAAGTTCTGTTTTATTTTTTTTCTGGTAAAACAAGAGCTGCTTATTATGGGTCTAACTTTTTCCAACAAAATTTCACCCTGGAACATCCCCTTTCATCCCCCTAAAGGTCGTTTTTTGCGGTTTTTCCGAAACGTAGCGCTTACGCTACAGTTAACAAAAAAATAACTTCATAGTAAATTAAAGAGGACTAAATTCTCTACAATTTATCCAGCGACAGCATATGTCTATCACCTACCCTTCAGTCGGGGTGGCGCTCTAAAGTTGAATGACCTTGAAAAAAGATATTTTAGAATTTATTATTTTTTTACTGAACAGTAAAGCGAATCCACTACAAACCATACAACAAATACTCATAAATAATTGGCCGATTTTTTGGTATATGTTTTATTTAAAAACATTTAGCCCTTTAAGATATACAGGGTGTTGAAATTTAAACAACCCCCTTTCATATCATCTGGAGGGCTGATGCTAGGCTGTTCAAATTTTCAGGAATTATTGATGTAGGAATGATATTGAAAAATTCGTATAATGCACCCCTATTTTTTACCTGGAACCACCCCAAAAAAATAAAATTTGAAAAAAAATACCTTCTTTTATCATTTTCTAGCACACAATACCCTCCATATGAATGGTTCAAATATTTTTTTGTGCACACCTCCCACATATATGCATAAATACCAAAAGTATTTTTCTAGTACAACCCCTCTAGACGGAAAAAAAATATTGAGGGGGTGAAAATTTTTTAAAATTTTTTTTTTGATTTTTGTTTCTCATTGGTCAGTAGCGCACCAAATAAGCTTTCCAAAAACATATCTACTTATTGCATCATCCCTCTGGAAACTACCCCCGCCCCTTATGGAAGTTGTCGCAACCACTCTTTTGCGATTATTTCGTTACCTATGCATTGTATGGGAAGGAAATTTATGCGAAATGGAAAGCCACCATATGCTTTGCAAATAAGGTCTTGATGCATTTTTTAAATATTTGCAACCTTTTCGCTACAGTGGCGCCCCAAAGTTCAGCAATTTAGAAGCAGATTCCAGTTTTATTGCATTATCTCGTCACCTATACATTTTATCGCTAAAATTCATTTGCTAAACTGAAGGCCAGAAATTTGTCTACTAATTATGCTCTATGCACTTTCTACGTTCTTGCCACCTTTTACTCCTTTTAGCCACAATGGTAGCCCAAAGGTCAGAAAACGTCACGCAAACTCCATTTTAGCTTTTTTTTTTTTTTTCATCAATGATCTTCAGTTCCTATTATAAGCGCCCTTGTAAGCGCCTATCTAATTGATTTATTCAAAAAGTATTGGGTATATCCGAGGGGTGTGACACTTCCAAGTATTTTGTACACCTGATTTCTGATTATCATTAGTTTAATGGAAATCAATGAAATCAGAAATTAGATTTAGTAAAGTTTCATGATTTCACTTGATTTCAATGATTTCCTCAGATATGTGATTTTACTTGATTTTGCTGATTTCACTTGATTTTGTAAATTTCATCAGGGATGGTGCAATAAGTAGTTATGTTTTTGGAAAGCTTATTTGGTGCGCTACTGACCAATGTGAAACAAAAAGCAAAAAAAAAAATAAAAAAAAAAATTTCACCCCCTCAATATTTTTTTTCCGTCTAGAGGAGTTGTACTAGAAAAATGCTTTTGGTATTTATGCATATATGTCGGAGGTGTGCACAAAATAATATTTGAACCATTCACGTGAAGGGCACTGTGTGCGAGAAAATGATAAAAGAAGGCATTTTTTTTCAAATTTTATTTTTTTTTGGGATGGTTCCAGGTAAAAAAAAGGGGTGAATTATACGAATTTTTCAATATCATTCCTACATCAATAATCCCTGAAAATTTGAACAGCCTAGCATTAGCCCTTCAGATGATATGAAAGGGGGTTGTTTAAATTTCAACACCCTGTATATCTTAAACGGCTAACTATTTTTAAATAAAACATATACCAAAAAATCATCAATCAATATGAGTATTTGCTGTATGGTTCGTAGTGAATTCGCTTTACTGCATTCAACAACCCGACTAAAGGGTAGGTGATAGACCTATGCTGTTGCTGGATAAATTGTAGAGAATTTAGTCCTCTTTAATTTACTATGAAGTTATTTTTTGTTAAACGTAGCGTAAGCGCTACGTTTCGGAAAAACCACAAAAAACGACCTTTAGGGGGATGAAGGGGGATGTTCCAGGGTGAAATTTTGTTGGAAAAAGTTAGACCCCTAATAAGCAGCCCTTGTTCTACCAGAAAAAAAATAAAATAGAACTTGGGTCGAGTTTGCGAGGTTCAACCTCTCTTTCCTGGCCTATTGGTATTCCTGCTATTAGCAAGTTGTTT